CATCATTCATCATTCATCATTCATCACATATTGCTTGACCTGGTGTTCAAAGATCATCCAAGGCGGAGCGTGGTTTTGCCTGTGAGCACCTTTTGTACAGTTTGCTTTTGCACTTGCCTGACGCGCAAGAGTGCAGTCTGGTACGCAGGGTTTGGGATGACTCTTTTTATAACCTTGTCCATTGCACGTTCCAGGCACAAGGATGCCATGGATTTGCCGGAATCAAAGCCGCTTCTTTGTCAGTTCTGAGAGTTGTTTCAAGGGGCTTTGATTTCTAGCGAAATACCGTCATCACCCCATTTCCGCAATCTTGGGAAGCATACGCTTGCCCGAGGAAATCCGAAATCTTTGCCTTGTTGCATGGGACAAGCTCGTAAGTTCTGAGCCCTTGGCGAACCTTTGGGGTTCAGGACCATTGTTCCATGACATCCTTTTCCACAACCAAATCCCTCAGGGGATTCAGGTGGGCCAACGTGTGGCGGAAAAGAACGGCCGATAGCTTCAGACGCTGATTTGGCAGCAATTGCTAGAGAGTCAGAGGTGCAAGAGTGCCGTTGCGTCATTCAGATGAATGGCTAATTGAAAAGCACCACTACTAGGTTGGAGGCCATCGCTATTACTGTAGGTTTCATGTGAGTATGTCTTTTGGTACTGAAGAAGAGCTCTTTTTTGTGCAAGAAAGCTTGGACGTTGCACCTTTCGGTAGGTTCAGCTCCTTGGAATGGCGACGGCTTCGTTCACAGCTTCCACAGGCCAAACATAGAGTCTATGTCGATTTGATACGATGTTTTGTAGGTCTAAGTCTAGGTTGCTAGAGAAGTATCAGGATACAGAGGAACAAGGGCACTTCCTGACCCCAACTGCTACAGCTGACATGTGACAAGAAGTTTGGGGACCACCAGGTGCTTGCCGCTGCTGTCTCAATCCGCTGTTGCTTCCTTTTTCTTTTTCTACTCCCACCAAGCCTGGCCACTATAGTCTATACTGACTAATTAACTATAGTGGCCAATATACTGTAGATTTTGACTTTAGGTAGTTTAGGAACGAGCTGGCTAGGAGGCCATCGCCATTAAGTTGGAGGCCATTGCTAGGTTTGAGGCCATCAACCGACTTGGAACTCTTTGTGCACAGAGAGACTGTGCACAGAGTGCGAGCGCAGCGACGATTTCAGCTCACGAGGCCGCACAGCACTTCCGACCAGGGGAGCTGGCGCTGACGCTGCAGGAGGGCTGAAGAAAGCTAATAGAAAACTATGTTCCTTGTAGCGATGCCCTTTGTTCCTAGTAGCTTCTTGCTCCTAGTAGTAAGGCCAGGAGCGCCTAGTAGCGTCCTTGCTCCTACTCTACTAGCAAACTCTGAAGACCGTTCTTCCTTTTCTTCTCCACCTGTCAGGTGAGGGTTGTTAGATTTTACGTCAGCCCCATCTCCTCCTCCGCCTCGTCCTCTACCTCCTCCTCCTCCGCCTCCTCCGCCGGACCTCAACCGCGACCATCCACGCCCAGTGTTCCCTGCCGGACCTCAGCCGCGAGCTCCAGGCCCAAGTGTTCGCTGCCGGACCTCAACCACAGCACGCAACCACAACCACAATCACAAACACACAACCACAAACACAACCACAAACACACAACCACAAGCACAACCACAACCACAAACACACAACCACAAGCACACAACCACAAACACACAACCACAAGCGCAACAACAAACACACAACCACAAACACACAACCACAACACACAACCACAAACACAACCACAAGCACACAACCACAAGCACACAACCACAAACACACAACCACAACCACAACAACAACTACTACCACTACCACTACCACCACCACCACCACGACGACGACGACTACTACTACTACTAGGACTACCACTACCACTACCACTACTACGACTACGACTACGACGACGACGACTACTACTACTACCACTACTACTACTACTACTACTACAACTACCACTCCCAGTTTTGGGCCGCCCAGTACGACTACTACTGAAGTGATCTGAGTTGTATTATTAGTTGGGCACAGGTCTCCTGATGAAAGCATTCGCTTCGGACAAAACAGTAAGACTTGGCGCTGAAGGATTTGTTCAGAGGCAAACGGAAGGGTAGTGCACAGAAAGGGCTTTGCAAAAACCTATTCTACTAACATCGTGGAAGGCGCGGGACATTCGTAGAATCCAAGGCTATTCGTGGACAGTTCGAGGAATGGTGGGCCAGTAGCAGAACTGACTGCAACGAAATCCCAGAAACCTTCGCAGAGCTTCGTGGAAGGTATTTTTGATGCACTAACTTCGTACAAGCGATTTTTGCTGACCCCCCTTTCTCCACACACCCTCCATGTAGCCTTCACTTGTGCTCTGGGCTGAAATACACAACGAGGGCGATGTCAACCGGGCTGTTTTGAAATGTCATGGTGGGGATCATTCGAAGTAAAGTAATTTGTTCTTTGCTCTTAATCATAGCAATGGCTTCCACCCTAAGAGCGATGGCCCCCAACCTACTAAGTAGCGATGGCCTCCAAATACGGAGATGTCCAAGACAGAGATTGAAGATGCTTCTATATGCCTCAAAGCCCTCAAGAAGAAGCATCAAATATCCAAAGACAGGATAATATCGTATTGAAAGCAGTAGGCTTATATACATAAATAAGGTTGATCTTGGCAACGATCTCCACTTTCCAGGGGCTGGCTGCCTTGCGGAGTGTGGGGGGCCTTGGAAACATGGGACGAATTTTTGATCCAAAAAGGTCCTGCACAAATTTGGATCAGCCTTTGTCATCTTGAGAGTCGAGGTCGAGGCACCTTACATTGAGCCAGTCTTGAAGGCGGTTCAAGAACTGGTCTGAAACTTAAACCTTGGGTCGCGCAGACTGAACCTGTTTGGGAGAAAGATGGATTCGATAGTACTAACTGGATGGCATTGAGCAACTAGAAATCATTCAATGGCGCGCCGTTCGACCGAAGTGCATCGCCATATGCATTCAAAGGATGACCGTAATCCCGCATGAGCCGCACTCAAACAGATCACCAACCGATCACATCCAGGCCGCCAGGCCCGAACCCTGGCCCTGAGTATGTTGAGGCCAGCTACATGAGCGCTGAGCACTTTTCCGACTCCTTGACAGCGCTAGCCGTCTTGCAAGCACCACAGGCCAGCGCTTGTCCGGTCGTTCTGGACAATCCAGAACAAAAAACTCGTGTGGTTCCATGTAACTCGAGGCCAAGGCAGCTGTGGATGCCTTGCTCCTTGCAGGCCAGAAAATGGGGTTGGTTTGACACAGCTCACCGCTACCTGACCTAACCTTGGACCTGGTTCCCGCGCTGGAACTGAGTCCAACAGCACATGTGTTGCTGGCACTGCCGTAATTGAGGAATTGATGTTCATCCACCGTTACAGGCTAGCGGTCAGGCCAGTTGATTCTCTTGGAAGCAACAGAGTGGATTCACTTAAGCAATCTTCAGCAGCATCCCAAAGTAGAAAATGGGTCCAAAGGTTGACATCTCGGAGACATTTTTTTCAAAATACACACTGCCACGGACTGTGCAACAGATGCGACCAGCGCTTCACAGGTGCGCAGCAGCTTCGCTCCTTGCGACCCGCGCAACTGATCAGCTGTTCACAGGCGACAAAGGGTGTTCAACTCGTGTCCGAAGGGTTCACAGGCGACAAAAATCCAAAGACTCGGAACAAACGCAGACTCGAATTTCTAGAATCTGGATGTGGTACTTGAGGTACTTGAAATTCCAAACCAACTCCGAGATTTCCTCGGCCTTCGATCCACTTCACCTCACTGTGTCACATGATGTGTTGCAGATGTGCAGGCGCTGGTGGAGTTAAAACATCCAGCGGAGAGGGTCATCCAGGTTGGCTGCGCTAAGTTGACCAAACGGGATGTGCTCCTTGCTTTCGTAGTGTATTGATGAAAGCATAGCACACTACTAACATCATTCAAAAGCGAATCGAACATCAAGAGAAGAATCTTAGAGCAAGCAGCAAGCAGCAAGCCTGCCTTGTGTTTGGCACTCGGACTTGCAGACGTGCAAAGGCCTTGATTCGAGAAATGCCGAGTGCCTGGGACTCATTCGCATCATTGGGCACAGAGGCCCTCCCTATGTCCCGAAACAAAGTATTGAAGAATGGATGTGATATACTGGACCAGTTATCAGCATGGGCCTTGATACAGGAAAGTTGTAAGTGCAAGACAGCACATGATGTCATGATGTCTTTCTAAGCAGGAAACTAAAGTGATGTAAAGGGAATCAGCGGGAATTCAGCAACCATTTGACGCCCTTATGTGTTTCTCTGAAATTAAGAACCGTCTTTGGCGAATTGTCTCTAGATCACAAGAGTTTACACAAGCAAAAAGCGTGAAACTCTTCACGCTTCTCACGCCTTTGCGGTCCGCAGCTTAGGCCTGGCATCTCACTTCAGAGGAGAAACGGGCACAACAGTTTTCGACCTTGGCATTTCTGAAGTCGTTTCAGCTGGTGGGATCTTTCAGGAGCTGCTCTGCTTCTTGCGCCTGATGAAGGCTGTCGCATGCCCAGCGCAGCTTTTCGATTCTTTTGGGATAATTTGTGAGTGGATTAGTTGAATTCGGAGTTCCGACGGCTGTTCAGCTTGTATTCAACGCATGCCTGTGGACAAAAAGCTGTTTGAGTCTGGCCACGACGTGTTCTTTCGTTTGGCACTAAGGTCGCGCGTAGCTTTGCCGAGCGTAGGACTTAGCCTTGCTTGATTTCGGAACAAGTTGACTTAGATGGACTTAGGAACAAGAAGCTACTAGGGCTCCTGGCATCGCTACTAGGAGCAAGGACGCTACTAGGAGCTCCTGGCCTTACTACTAGGAACAAGAAGCTATTAGAAACAAGAAGCTATTAGAATCTATTAGCTTGCAGTGCTTGGAATATCTAGGCCCAGTACACTGGAGATGCTGCGGGCAGCCCTGTCAGATGCACGCGGTGTGCTGCGCAGCCGCCTGCGTGGACAGGAGCAGCTTCCAACGGTTCGGTCCTCGGCAACTTGATCGAAATAAAGGAAGAAACTAGTAACAAGGGCATTACTAGTAGTAACAAGAAGCTACTAGTAGCTATGCACTTGTTACTAGTAGCTTCTTGCTACTAAATCCTAAACTCAAAATGTCTTACTTCCACCGCACCTTGGTCAAATCGATGAATCGCATAAAGGTAGTGAGGTCCACGGTGTTAGTCCCCATGTGTGATGGTCATCCCTTGTGACACGATCGATGTCCATTTCGTTGAAAGGCCGAGCTGTTGGAAGTGTTCATGCTGTGCTCTGAGTTGCAGCCACGGGCTGAGCAAATTTTGGACTTGATCCTCGGAGCAGTGATCCTCACGCAAGGAAAGTCGTCATTGGTATATATTGGATGTTTCGTGAGTAATGATCAATCCTTCGTCGCCACGGGTGCAACCTGACATGTAGCAGATTCCACACTGTCAGGGAAGTTCAT